ATAGGTGAAGTTCGTTATGATTGGCTAATAAATTTTAAAAATGGTCACCAAAATTAGTGATTATGATTACGTGTATTTGTATTTGTACTACTGTAATTTTAGTTCCGATTGTAAGCAAAAAAAGCGAAACATATTTATTTTTTATTATTTTATATGAAAAAGACATTTGTGTCGAATTTAACATTAGGAATAAATAAATATTTAAAACAAGCGTAAAGCTGCATCAAGGCGATTGCTTATATTACTATCTATTTCAATTTGACCAATATTATCATTATTATCTCCGATTTCATTATCATCTTCGACTCCATTATCATCTTCGACTCCATTATCATCTTCGACTTCATTATCATCTTCGACTTCATTATTATTAGGTTCAATTATTTCATTCTCATTAATTCCAAACTTCAATCGATCTAAATAAGATTTTGTTAGTTTGTGAATTTTTTTTTCATAAAATTTAAAGCAATATGGACATGTATTATTTAATAAATAAAGGCATCGTATATGATAAGCATGTCCGCATATCAATACTTTGCCTGGTTCTAACAAGCTTAATTTACATTTAGTTGCATCACAAAATTTGTCTTTTGAAGGTTTTTTTAAAACATGATACCCGGTTGGTAACCATTTGATATCAACATCTGCATTAAATGCTGCTAAAAAACATTTAGAACATTTTTTTGAAGAAGTTATTTTACTTTGACCATCTTTATTTCGAATATCAATAAACAGAGATAATAAAAACTCAGCAGACATTTCTTCTAATTGTTTTAATTGATGCCGAGTATATGGATAATTTGTAGATTTGACAAAAGCATCTCGAAACATATTTTTATGTCTATTATGATCAATAAATAAAGCTTTGTCACGAAGAGAGTTTGCATCTAATCGTTGTCCAGATGTTTGTCGTCGAAGAATGCTATGAAAATTTTCAACATAGTAATCAGTAAAAAGTGGAAGATGCATTTTCAAAGTAGTAAGAATTGGATGATTAATTGAATCCCAAAAAAACACATCAGAAAGAAATACTAGAGGAAGCTTATCATAATTTTTTCTTTTAAACTGACAAAAAATTATCCACAAATGAAATATTGTCTCAAGATATTCAGTCCATTTTCCAGCCTGAAATAATACTGCATATATGTCAAGAGTTGCAGAAATTATATTGTTAAGTAAATTTATAAATGTTCTATATTCCAAATCTTTAACATTATTCATACAAGTTATAATTGTTGCTTAATTCGTAACCACCCTGTATAAGCAAGGTAAAGTAATAAATCTGATCACCATACTTTAGGTTTTACTGCAAGTTCTTTTTTTTTCCAAATTGATTTAAAAAGTTTATTAAAAAATTTGTGATAAATTGATACTGTTGTTTGACATGAGTTCAAAGATACATGTAGTGGTCCTAATATAGGAATAAATCGTAAAATTTCATCAGGTATCAATGTTTGATTACCAAGCATTAATTTGTGAACAATAGCATGACGAATATAAAGTTGTCCAGGAAAATCTGCAGGAACTGGTACAATAAATAAATTAAGATATTGTTTAATAGATTGTAATTGAGTATAAGTATTAATTGCTTTTAAATAAGCATCCATTGAATGAAGTTCTAAAGAAATTAAATCAACAAGCTTAACATCTTTCATTACTCTTTCTTCTTTGTGCTCTGCTATATCTGAATCATATATATGAACTGTTAAACTATCAATTAATGTATTATCAGGTAAGTTTGCAATTTCTTGAATACTATTCCACTCTTTTTTTCGATCAGTATAACTTGTACTAAAAACTTGCATATATTCTATACGAAGCTTTGAAATTATAATATTAGCATCAATAAATTCAGGATTGTGAATATTATATCCTGATAATAAATAATATGGAATTAGCATACAATGTTTTGACAAATTAACACAAATAGTAGCCATATGATTTATCGTGTGAAGTGAAGTCACATTAGGCATTCGCTTTTCATGTATATCATGGTAGTCATCAACATTTAAAAAATGCGCATATCTTAACTTTAATTTAAAAAACTTTATTAAAAATATATTTATTATAATATAATCAAAAATACATATTATATAATAGAATACCTGATCTTTAAAATATATTTGAGATCTGAATCTCGTGTTTCTAATAATTTTTGTTTTCTTGTTGCAATTACTTTATATGATGCAGTAACACCTAAAGTAGCTAATGCATCAATTCCTTGTTTCGATGTTCCCATTGTCATTAAACTAATACCAGCATCGATCTAAAATATATATATAATAAATTATTATAAAATTAAAAATACTAATAAGCCATTTTTAATATTTACCTTCATTAAATTAACAAATTTGTTACGCATTCCAGCAAGTTCATAGCAAATACCAACAACTTTATATTGGTTAACTTCATTGGTTTCATTACTTTTTTCTTTCGGATTAGTCATTTCAACTATTGCATCAAAGAATGATTTCAGATTTGAATTATAATTGTTTAACATCGCTACAAATTCATTGGGATCATATAAAACATCTTTGTGCTGCCGGTGTTGATAGTCATACAATGCATCAGTAAGAGCTTTTCCATAATAACATAATATGCTTTTAAATTTTTCAGAATCTAGAAATTAAAAACTTTGTATAAATAATTACAGTATATTATATAATTTAATAATTGTAAATAAAATAAATATACCTTGGTTTCATATTACTAATTTTGATCGCAAAGTTTGTATCTCTTCTTGTGCCTGATTTAAGTCCTGCCTAAGCCGGTTAAACTCTTTTTGAGACACTAATTTCTTATATTCACCCTTAGGAACAAGCATGTGATTGTCTAATGTTATAGTTGTAGAACTTG